AAAAAAAAAAAAAAAAAAAAAAAAAAAAAATCAATGTGTATTAATTATTAGTGGATATTCAATCCAATGCAGACACTCAATTCAGTACAAACTGGGTGCTAGTGAGCATTGTCCTCACTATCCTGGCTGAGCATTTTTAGTAGAGACAGGGTTGGTCTTAAATTCCTGACTTCAGATGATTCACCCGCCTTGGCCTCCCAGAGTGCTGGGATTATAGGTGTGAGCCATTGGGCCCGGCCTTTTTTATTTTTTATTTTTTTGAGACAGAGTTTCACTCTTCTTGCCCAGGCTGAAGTGCAAATGGCGCAATCTTGGGTCACTGCAATCTCTGTCTCTCAGATTTAATGGACTCTCTCATCTCAGCCTCCTGAGTAGCTGGGATTATAGGTGCCTGCCACCACACCCGGCTAATTTTTGTATTTTTTAGTAGAGATGGAGTTTCACCATGTTTGCCAGGCTGGTCTCCAACTCCTGGCCTCAGGCGATCAACTCACCTCAGCCTCCCAAAGTGCTGGGATTACAGGTGTGAGTCACCCCTCCTGGCCCAACTACTGATTATTTAAACACTTCAGCCCATCTAATCCCATGGCTCCTTCCCCCTCTAGAGACCATCAGACTCACATCCTCATTCAGGTGGTCAGCCAATGAGTGGTCCAGCAGCAGAAGCCTGTGAAAGAGGTCCAGGCCCGAGGGGGCTGGCCCACGAGGTAGGTGAGGGGCCTTTGACTCTTCCAGGTCACCCCACCCTGAGGGACCCAGAGGCATCCCTGCCCAGATATCCACACTCAGCTCAGGGTTCTGCAGCCTGGAATGGATGAGATAGCATGTCAGCCTCCCTTGTGTCCTATCAACCCACTTTGAGAGGCTCCCAGGGAGCTTAGGGGAGAAGGGGGAACCAGCCACTGGCTGGAGATCCTGGGATGCAGAAACCATGGAATGTCATTCTTAGGAAGATCTGAGAGTTATCCATTTTCTGCCACTGGGGTGACAGAAGACAAAAAGAGGACAACTGAAAGGGCTACTAATGGCTGGGCACGGTGGCTCACACCTGTAATCCGAGCACTTTGGGAGGCCAAGGCAGGTATGTTACCTGAGGTCAGGAGTTCAAGACCAGCCTGACAAATATGGTGAAACCCTGTCTCTACTAAAATTACAAAAATTAGCTGGGTATGGTGGTGTGTACCTCTAGTCCCAGCTACTTGGGAGGCTGAGGCAGGAGGATTATTTGAACCCGGGAGGTGGAGGTTGCAGTGAGCCGAGATTGTGCCATTGCACTCCAGCCTGGATGACAGAGTGAGACTCTGTCTCAAAAAAAAAAAAAAAGAAAGAAGAAGAAAGGGCTATGAATTTGGAGCCAAGTCAGCCCAGAGACACTGAACATTGGGACTAACAGCATGAAATGTAAGGGCTTAGAGATTTGGAGGAGGAGGAGAGAATTAGAAGGCAACAGAGGGCCAGGGTGGTGGCTTACATCTGTAGTCCCAGCACTTTGGAAGGCCAAGGCAGGCAGATCTCTGAGCCCAGGAGTTTGAGACTAGCTGGGCTGGGCAACATGTCGAAAACGTTTTCTCTACAAAAAATGTTAAAAAGCCGGGCGTGGTGGTGTGCACCTGTGGTCCCAGCTACTTGGGAGGCTGAGGTGGAAAGATGGCTTCAGCCTGGGAGGTGGAGGTTGTAGTGAGCCATGAATGTGTCACTGCACTCCAGCTGGGTGACAAAGTGAGGCCCCAAACAAAACAATAGAGAAGGCAATAGAGACATGAGAGGCCTTGAGGAGATATCAAGGAGCTGAGTTCTGAAGAATTTGTAACTCCAGGGATCTTGTGAGGAAGCCAGAACAAGGCAACTCGGGGCAAGCACTGAGAGAGCTGGGGGATTGACCCTGTGGGGTAGAGGAAGGGGTCAGTACCTGTGCGTGGAATTGTCTGCAGTTGGGGGTGCAGCCCGTCCAGTCAGAGGCCCATGCTGTCCCAGGCGAAGCCCCTGAACTCGGCCTAGCCCCAGGCTGTGGAGAAGCCTCGCCAAGCCCCCTGCAGTCAATGTCCCATTCTCTCCGTACAGGCCAAACAGCTGGGCCAGGTAATGGCTCTGCTCCTGCTCAGCAGGGCCCAGGTTGGGGACTGAGCCCTCTACCCAGCCCAAGACGACCCACACACAGAAGCTGGCCAGCAGATGACTCACTGGGGACCCCATCATTGCAGGAGAAATGGCTCAGGGGCTCTGGTTCTGGCTCCTATTCTCCCCGAAGCATCCTGAGGACAGTGTCCTGGAAGAACAAGGATTGGGCTGGAGCTGCTGCTCCGCTCTCCAGCTCGGGGCCATGGGGGAGCCAGAGCTCCTTGTACCCGCCCCACACCAAGTCCAGCAGCAGCCCCTACTGCACCCTCCTTCTTCCCTCACACTGCCTCCTTCAGGAGCAGCCTCTGGCTTGCCGGTTCCTAGAGCACCTCCCTGACTCGGAGCTCTCCCCATACTTCATCCAGAGCTGATTGTCTATCCCTTGTCCCCAAACCCCACCTCTCAACTTTGCCCCACCTCTCTATCCCCCCTCAATCCCCAGGGCCTCACCCCCACTGGCAACGTGAGAGCTGTCACCTCAGGTCCCCTATTAGGCCTTGATGTGGATATTAAGCAGTTCCTGAGTCAGGGAGGGAGAAATCCAGACTGAGCCTCCAGGTGTCCAGGTAGAATAGAGGCCACGTCACATAGAAGGCTGAGATGGACACTTATCCCCTCCTAGCCCACCTGCCTTGGGGTGGAGTCAGGGGTGGGGCCAGTGTGGGAAGGCTCACAACAGAGAGGAGTTAATGGTTCACTGGTCTCTGGGGTGGGGGTCAAAGGTCAGTCTCTGCTGGGCCTCTGAGTAGGGAGGGGCCACCTTCTACCCTGGGAAAGCCACATGGTTAAGGAGAACCTGGGCCCAGTTTTTTTTCCTCTTAAATAATTCACCCCACTTTTAACACAGTACCATTTTAGCCCTTTCCAGCATATACTTCCGCCCCACCTACCTTACATCTGGCACTGAATTCATCTCCAACCCCCATCCCCATATTCCCTGGGAAGGTTGGACTCAGGTGTCCCTAACCTGGGGAGGAGGGGGAAAAGGCAGATGAATGCCAAGCCCAGATGTATGCATGGGAAAGAAACTGTTCTTAGCAACAGCTTCTCACCCCAAGGAGAGAAAGAGCTGGAGCTGTAGGGATCGATGACCAAGAAAGGGGACGCTCTGCAGGGGAGAAGAAACAGGGATCTGGGCTCCCCTCTGAAGTCTGACCTGACGTAAAATCAGGCAAGCAAAGTCTGATCGGGGTGACCAGTCCGTGGGGTTGAGGTTGGCATTACCTGATAGCAGGAGACAAGAAAGACACCCAGAGGAAGGGGGACACAGCCTTCTTGCTTCCAGCTGGGGGCGCAGGCAGGCAGGCAGGCGGGCAAGGGTCACCTGCAGGGAGCGGGTAGGGGAGGGACACTACCTTAAAGGGGCAGGTCTGCTTTGCCTGGGCCTCCTTATCTGTAGCCTATCTTCCTTCCACCTTCCAGGGACACCCCACCTTCCCAAATGCCTCATTGCTAACTTCCTTTTCCCACAAAAAGCAAAGGAGTCCAATACAGAGTAGAGTGGTAACATTTATTAGGAAAGAGAGATTTCAGTTAGACCCCCATGTCTCACACAGAAGAAATAGATGGTAACTGCCATTTCTTTTCTTTTCTTTTTGTTTTTTGAGATGGAGTTTCACTCTTGTTGCCCAGGCTGGAGTGCAGTGGCACAATCTCAGCTCACTGCAACCTCCACCTCCCAGGTTCAAGCGGTTCTCCTGCATCAGCCTCCTGAGTAGCTGGGACTACAGACATGAGCTACCACGCCCGGCTAATTTTGTATTTTTAGTGGAGATGGGGTTTCTTCATGTTGGTCAGGCTGGTCTCGAACTCCCGACCTCAGGTGATCTACCTGCCTTGACCTCCCAAAGTGCTGGGATTACAGGCATGAGCCACCACGCCCGGCCGGTAACTGCCATTTCTAAAGAGGAAAGAGAGCAGGTGGAGGGTCCTGATTCCCAGGGGACAGGTAGTTCAGCTGGACAATGGGGGAGTACAAGATTAGGGTTGATAAGGCCACTGCTCACCACCCCTCCACTGAAGTTCAGTGGCTAAAATACTGCTACACCAGCCAGCCAGTAGAAGGCTATCTTGCTCTCCAGCAGACACTTGGAATGTGGTTGGTGGCAGGAAGGAAGAATGTCATGCTATCTCTTGCTGCTCCTCCGGGTTTCTTTGCCGTTACTAACAGTGTTGCTGGAAGGCCCAGGCGGGCCTGCAGGTGTGTGGTTGGGCTGGCTTCGAGTGATTCGGGTGCTGGGCGGGTGTGAGGGAGTATGAGAGGGATGTGGGCCACCACCGGGACCTGATGGGGCACTCAGTCCATTCCCGTTCTGGCTCTCAGAGGCTAGTTGTTGGAGGAGAAGGAACAAAGGAATTAGTTAACATAGAAGAGGGTTCCATCCCAAGACCTGCCTCCATGCCCTAAAGAGTGGCACAGTCTTCAGCATGCACAACTGCACCTTAAGGCCAAATGCAAAAGACAGTGGGCTGCGAATATGAACCAAGCTCCAGAGAAGACTCACACGATCATTTTGGAAGTTGCTACATGAACCTTGGTATGATATTTTTCTCTTGTATTTATCTGTCTTATTGGGAATCAGACCCAATTAACTGTTTAGTTCTAGGCTCAAGGACCTCTGACAAAAATGCCCTTTTACCAAAAGTGATTGTAAAACTGGAGAAGGATGACAAGGGGAAAGGCCTGAAGTATCTGTGTTAAAATATGAGGCACTTAAAAAAAAAAAAAAAGGTGTGTATGTATGTACCACAATGATACTGTTCATTTTAGAAAACATAGATAAGTGGTCAGGCGCAGTGGCTCATGCCTGTAATCCCAGCACTTTGGGAGGCCAAGGTGGGTGGATCATGAGGTCAGGAGTTCGAGACCAGCCTGGCCAAATCGTGAAACCCTGTCTCTACTAAAAATACAAAAATTAGCTGGGTGTGATGGTGCATGCCTGTAATCCCAGCTACTTGGGAGGCTGAGGCAGAAGAATCACTTGAACCCGGGAGGTAGAGGTTGCAGTGAGCCAAGATCATGCCACTGCACTCCAGCCTAGAAGAAAGAAAAAAATTTTCTCTCAAAAAAAAAAAAAAATATATATATATATATATATATAAAAGCATAAGTGAAAAGATAAGATTATTATACATAATCTTACCTGCCAAATGTAGTAAGTCACATTTTTTTTGTATATATATTTTTATTTTTTAATTTTTACTGTTTTAGAGATGAGGTCTCACTTTGTCACCCAGGCTGGGATGTGGTGTGATCATGGCTCATGCAGCCTCAAACTCCTGGCTCAAGCAATCCTCCTGCTTCAGCCTCCCGAGTAGCTAGGACAGTGGGTGTGCACCAGTGTGTCTGGCTTAGATTTTCTTTCTTTTTTGTTTTTCTTTTGAGATGGACTCTTGCTCTGTCACCCATGGTTGGAGTATAGTGGCTCAATCTTGGCTCACTGCAACGTCTGCCTCCTGGATTCAAGTAATTTTCCTGCCTCAGCTTCCCAGCAAAAAAATATTTTTAATAAGATACATTTGGCCAGGTGTGGTGGCTCATGCCTGTAATCCCAGCACTTTGGGAGGCCAAGGTGGGAAGATCACCTGAGGTCAGGAGTTCCAGACCAGCCTGGCCAACATGGTGAAACTCTGTCTCTACTAAAAATATAAAACTTAGGCCAGGTGAGGTGGCTCATGCCTGTAATCCCAGCACTTTGGGAGGCTAAGGCGGGTGGATCAGGGGTTCGAGACCAGCCTGGCCAACATGGTGAAACGCTGTCTCTACTAAAAATACAATTTAGCGGCCGGGCACGGTGGCTCAAGCCTGTAATCCCAGCACTTTGGGAGGCCGAGGCGGGTGGATCATGAGGTCAAGAGATCGAGACCATCCTGGTCAACATGGTGAAACCCCGTCTCTACTAAAAATACAAAAAACATTAGCTGGGCATGGTGGCGCATGCCTGTAATCCAAGCTACTCAGGAGGTTGAGGCAGGAGAATTGCCTGAACCCAGGAGGCGGAGGTTGCGGTGAGCCAAGATCGCGCCATTGTACTCCAGCCTGGGTAACAAGAACGAAACTCCGTCTCAAGAAAAAAAAAAAAATACAATTTAGCTGAGCATGGTGGCGGGTACCTGTGATCCCAGCTACTTGGAGGCTGAGGCAGGAGAATCGCTTGAACCTGGGAGGTGGAGGTTACAGTGAGCCAAGATCACACCACTGCACTCTAGCCTGGGCAACAAGAGCAAAAACTCCATCTCGGGGGGGGAAAAAAAAAAGCCAGGCGTGGTGGCATGTGCCTATAATCCCAGCTACTCAGAAGGCCAGAGAATCACTTGAACCCAGGAGGTGGAGGTTGCAGTGAGGGAGATCTTGCCACTGCACTCCAGCCTGGGCAACACAGTGAAACTCTAAAACAGTGAAACTCTGTATTTAAAAAAAAAGAAAAGATACATTTAAGTCTCTTGGCCCCTAATATTCCTTTGCTACATGTGGAAAAGTTGTTCTTTTTCACCTTTGAGTGACAGTGGCAAAAGGGTACCCAAGGTCTATTGTGATTGAAATAGGTTCCCAGGCCAGCTGTGGTGTCTCACATCTGTAATCCCAGCACATTGGGAGGCTGAGGCGGGTGGATCACCTGAGGTCAGGAGTTTTGAGACTAGCCTGGCTAACATGGTGAAACCCCACCTCTACTAAAAATACAAAAAATTGGCCAGGTGTGGTGGCAGGCACCTGTAATCCCAGCTACTCAGGAGGCTGAGACAGGAGAATCGCTTGAACCTGGGAGGCAGAGGTTTCAGTGAGCTGAGATCACGCCACCGCACCCCAGCCTGGGTGACAGAGCTAGCCTCCGTTGAAAAAAGAAGAAAAAAAAAGGTTCCCAAATTTTTCACTATAGGCACTTACAAAAGGTATCAAAAAAGGGTGTGCTGGGCATGGTGATTGATGCCTATTAATCCCAGCACTTTGGGAGGCCAAGGTGGGTAGATCACTTGAGGTCAGGAGTTCGAGATCAGCCTGGCCAACATGGTGAAACTCCATCTCTTTTAAAAATAGAAAATTAGGCCGGGCGTGGTAATCCAAGCACTTTGGAGGCCAAGGTGGGCAGATCACCTGAGGTTGAGAACTCAAGACCAGCCTGACCAACTTGGTGAAACCTCATCTTAAAAAAAAAAAAATAATAATAATAAAAAAAAAGAAAATTAGCTGGGCGTGGTGGCATATGCTTGTAATCCCAGGTATTAGGGAGGCTGAGGCATGAGAATCGCTTGAACCCGGGAGGCAGAGGTTGCAGTGAGCCGAGATCATGCCATTGTATTCCAGCCTGGGTGACAGAATGAGACTCCTTCTAAAAAAAATTAAAAAAAAAAAGCCAGGCATGGTGGCTCATGCCTATAATCTCAGCACTTTGGGAGGCCAAGGCAGGCAGATTGCCTGAGGTCAGAAGTTCGAGACCAGCCTGGCCAAAATGGTGAAACCCCGTCTCTACTAAAAAGACAAGAATTAGCCAAGTGTGGTGGCGCATGCCTGTAATCCCAGCTACTTGGGAGGCTGAGGCAGGAGAATCGCTTGAACCTGCAAGGCAGAGGTTGCAGTGAGCCAAGATCACACCATTGCACTCCAGCCTGAGCAACAAGCACAAGACTTTGTCTCAACAACAACAAAAAAAAGGTGGGGGGCTGGGAGAATTGAGTGAAGGCAGATATACTGAGAAA